CTGCACCCGCCGCAGGGGGAGCCTCGGGCCTGTACGGTCAGGTTTTAGGGTGCCTGAGCCGCTGGAGTCGGGGCTCCCCAGCACCCATAGCCCGTTCTTGGGCCTCCGTTTTCCCGTGCTGAGGGGGGGGCTGTTTGCAGGGTAGAAGGTCCTGAGTTGGTTCCTCCTCCCCACACCCTGAGAGTAAGACTGAAAGTGTCACCATTGTCCGAGTGGTTTCTTGTCATAAAACTAATCCCTTCTGCTCACCGGAGCACTGGGTTTGGGCTTTTGTTTATGTGTTGTTACAACCTCTGGAGCCCTCACTGTGTTTCTTTCCTTGACTATCAGTGGTGCCCTTCCCAAGAGGAAATACACAAAGCGTGTGTCTCAGAAGTGATGGCTGAGAAACAAATACAACAGATGAAACAAGTTCTGTGATGAGACAGAGGCTGGGCTGACACCCGGATCCCCCCAGTCCAGGGTCTTTCAGTCTCATCTGTATTAATGGAACAAGTCAGGGTTTGCCTTTTTACCCCACTGCTCTGGGGCTTTTCATTGTGTTGATGTTGTAAGCTCTTTTAAAGTAAGAGCTCCATCGTTGCTCTGTTGGCCGCTGAGCTGTGTGCTGAATTTCCAGGAGAGGCACGGGTGACTTCCATTTCAGCTCCTTGTGTGCTCTTCCTCTATCCTTGTACCTGGAAGTTTTGCTGTAACTTTGGAACGAACCAAACTCCATAACACCCTGGGCAGGTGATGAGGCTGCGTTTGTTCCATAGATGAGAATCTGAAAGGCAGACAAGTTAAATGGCTGTTGAAGCTTGTGTGAGTCTATAGCAGACTCTGTGCGGCTCCTGTGACTTTGGATTCCTTTTCCCCCTCATGTGCCTGCAAGACAGTGCTGTTCTGCTGCAGAAAGGGCTGCTGATGCTTCTGGGAAGTATTTTCTATGTAAATGCAGCTCATTATGTTTTAAGGAGTTGGAATTTGGTGGCCTGTGTTAGGGAGCCAGTGCCTGAGCTTGCTGTAGAGCATGGAAAGCAGGCACTGAAGCTGGTGCTGAACAAATGCCTTCAGATGTTCTAGGATTAACAGGCTGAACTGGGTGACTCTAACACAATGCAGGGATTCACAGCAGCACCCGGGTTCCTTAACAGTGGTTCTGCTGCCTGCCTCTTGCTCTTAGAAGTTGCTCTTACAGGAGTGTAATGCAAATCGCCTCTAACCTCATGGAGCATTTGTGGCTTCCAGTGTCCCACTGTGGGAGCGTGGGGTAGGGGTCACCCTCACAGCAAACCTTGGTTTGGAGGCTGGGGAAAAGAGCATTAACAACTTGTGTTTGGATTAAATGTTACCTCCTGGGCTCTGAGAGAGCTTTAAAATGAAACGAGCTTCACAGCTCCGCTCTGGAAGAGGCTGTGTCTTGGAATCCTCCGAGCCCCTGTGCTGCCTGGGTAGGGGCTGCGGCTCTGGACTGCCACCTATTGAATTGCTCCAGCTTTATCTTCGCAGGAGTTGGCCTTTTTAGAGGAAAGCAGTTGAGGTTTGACACCCTAAAACCAAGGCACGGTTAGTTAGTGCTCCACATGACCTGAGGCTTGGCTTCACTAGACAGAAATAGCTGGGTGGTGTCTTTGTTATCTCCTGCACCAGCCTCTCTGTCTGAATGGGAAATGCACTAAAATGATGAAAACAAACACAATGCCACTTTCTGAAGCCTTGTAGTGTCCTCAGGAGTATGTTTTCTGGGGACTGGGAGGATATTGTTTGGTGAGGAAGACTTTGGGAGGTATTAGTGCAAGCTGGGATAGGTCTCCTAAGAAATACATGTTGATTTCTAAGAAAGGAAGACAGAGGATTCCTTCTTCTCCACTGTCTCTGTTTGACCTCTTTTTTGCATCTCCCAGGCACCACCGAGGAGGTGACTCCTCCCCTCCAGCAATGCTTCATGATCCCCAAAAAGGAGATAAACATGGTTTCTGATATGGCCAAGTGGAAGCGTTCTCAGGTATGGCTCTGGGCTCAGGCAAAGCTGGTAAGTGGTTGTTATGCTTCAGTGGCAACCAGGTCTGGTCTGGGAACAGCCAAGAGGTAAGGCAGGTTTGGGCAAGTAATGGGAAATAAATTGGGTTGTGTTTTAAAGCAGAAGAGTCGCTTTGCAGGAAAATTACTTGGCAGCAAAATGCTGCAACAAAGGAGTGAGCCAGGAGAGCCCGGATGTTGAGAGAGACCAGAGATGCTTAAAAATCATTAGTGGTCCCTCCCAACAAGCTCGACCAGTAGCTGGTAACTTTTCCACCCTACCTGGTCTGTACATTACACCAAACTGGATTAACCCAGCAGTGTTTGAACTCAGCTTCAATGTGGTGCTGGCCCTCTAATAGCACCAGGCTGGGTTGGTTCCTGGGGCCTTCTCATCCTGCTCTACTGGAAGAGGCTCTACATCCCAGGCCTGCAATTGCCTGGATAATTTCTGTTTACAGTATGTGTGGAGCTGGTGGAACAGGCAGGTTTTCCCCTCTCTGCCTCTGAGGGGTGGGTGTGTGAGCCCAGACTCGTCCCTCCTCTTAGGAGCAAGTTCTCCCTTTGAGACTGATCTGTGATGTCTTAGGAGAAGCTTAAGTTATAGCCAGGCAAATCTTGGAGTGCAGCTTCTGTGCTTGGTCTCCCGGGTTTAAGCACTTGCTCCTGAGCAGGATTTCTGTGCAAGAGGGGCCCAAGGAGGGAGAGGTGGCAGTGTGCTTGTCTGGTTTTCCCAAACACTGGATATGGTGCTTCAAAAGCAGCCAATTTAAAGAGAAGATCAGCCTGGGCTGTTTCCCACTTCTCCAAAGTGCATGAGGATGGGAGAAGAGTAGACGAGGAAAGGAGAGATAATGGTGCACGTGTGGGAGAAGCAGAGCAGAATGTCTGGGCACAGCTGAGCCCAGCTGAGCTTGAATTTGGCCTGACAGGAGGCAGGGAGCTGCAGGAATGATTTCAGGGGCAGTGTGAGCATTTTTAGGATTCTCCTCCTCTGTTTCCACAGGATGCAGAGTTCTTGGTGCAGTCACCATCTGCCTTCTGCCCAAAATAGCAGTAACCTCACAGCCAGCCCCGCACCCTGGTGTCTCCAAGAGAGCAGCATTGCCTGTTGGGAAGGGTTCCCTGGGAGTGCAGGAGTGTTTCCATGCCACATTGCTGGGTCAGACAGGCCACGGGTGCTCACTAACACCCTGCTCTCTCTGGTGTTCGCAGGCATATGCAGATTACATGGGCTTCATCCTCACTCTGAATGAAGGTGTCAAGGGCAAGAAGCTGACCTGCGAATACAAGGTTTCAGAGGTAGGAGAAGAATTTGGATCCCCTTCTTTCTCCTTTTCTGTCTTTCTCTCCCCCCCCCCCCCATTTTTTTTTTTTTTTTTTTTTTTTTTTTCGCTGAAAGGAACAAAGTGCACAGAAGACCTGTACTTTTCTTTTTGGCTCTAACGTGAATATTTCCTAGGTGAGGAATGAGTTGGCATCTTAGCTGGGAGCCAGGGAGAATAAATGCAGTTGGGGATGCAAATGTCAGCCTGCAATCCTCCCTCCAGGATGCAGAGGCTCTGTGTGTGCTCACTGGATGGGAAATGAAGCAAGTTGCAAGTGGCCAGAAGCTGGTGGTGAGGAGGAGGGTGCAGAAGGGGTGTATTTTAACCCTGTTTTCACAGCAGCTGAGCTGTGCAGGGTCTGGTTTGACAGTGTGCAAGCTCAAGGCATGTCTTTGGCTCTGCCTTGCCAAGGCTTGTGTAAAGGGCTATGGGGGCTGTGGAGCACACAAGAGATGGGGTGGTTGGTTTAGCCTGTGGGGCAGGATTGTCTCTTCCAAGGTGTTGCAGAAAGGACCTGTTTTTCCCTTGCATTAATGTGACACTCACGTGGCTCTGATGCTGTGGCCACTTTTAAGGCTTGTTCACCTTATCAGGGCACAGCAGAATTGTTTGGAGCCAGAGGGAGAGGATAGGCATCCTCATTCGTGTTACTGCCCGGCCTCAGCTGTGCTCACTGCTGGCCTGAGTGCTCTCTGAGTGCTGCCATGATCTGCAGAGCAGATTTGGCCACCAGCTTTGCTTCTGTGCTGCATGCTGGATCCCCCTCCCTTGTTCTATATTGCAGCGGGGAGGTTCTTGGGTGCATTTACTGCTCAAACTTACCACAGTTGTGCAAGAAAGCTGGGAATAGCCTAAGAAGATGCAGGCAGAATGGGAAGCAGGCTGGGCCCTGTGTGTTTGGAGCTTAATTCTGGTGTGGGAAGGCAGCCTACAGTCATCTTTAACCTAGTCATTTATATTTGAAGCAGGCATGTTGAGTCCAGCCTTCCCTTCTAGGAGCCAGTGTGTGGATGAGAAACTTGCTTGTAGTTCTTGGAGGGGGGGGATCAGGGATAAAAAATCCCTCCGCAACAGGCTTTGTGTCCACCTTTTGTTCCTTCAGTTCAGTAGAAACTGCTGTCAAATGCTGCTCTTGCTCTCTGCTGTTTGCATTCACCTCTGAGTTTTCTCTTTGTCATGATCTCGCTCATTCCCAACCATTCACAGAGCAGTTCTAGGGAAACAAAGCTTTAAAAATGAGCAAAACAAAAGGTGTGTGTGGGGGAAACATTCTCTGCCAACCCCTTGGAGCTGTCAGCTCTCTGTATCGGGGCTGCATCCTGCAGCAGATCCCTCTTGGAGTGAATGTTTTACTTCCATGCTTCCAGTCCAGGTGGCAAACAAGAGACACAATCGCATTCTTTGGAAGTGGCAGGGAATGTGTTTCACCCCCTTGGTGTTGAGGAGAGCAGAAGCCTGTGGCTTCAGGCACAGGTGGAGCATCCCCAGGGTTGCCTTGTTGATGTGGTTGCCTGTTCACACAGGTTCCTTTGTAGATCAAACTGCTTATCTGTGCTTTTAAAGGCTCAGCCCCTTGTGGCCTCTGCTTGCATCTCTGCTCCACTTTCTTCTCCTTTGCTGTACCTGCTGCTGATGTGCTTTTGTGCCGTCCCATCTTCCTCCCTGATCAAATGCTGGGGACGCCTTCCTTTGGCAAATGACCTCCTGGAATTCTTTCTTTCTGCTGAATGTGTATCCTCTCTGTGACCTACTGCTATTGCTTTGCTATGGGAAAGAGAAAGCGGGAAATATGGTCTGCTGTGCTTTGGAAGAGCCAGCTTAATGGTTTCCAGCATAGCATGTGTCGATACCAAACTGTCTGCTGGATCCTTTGGGGGCTGAGCCCCTTCCGAGACTTGCTGAGCTTGCTCTGCTCTTGCTGCAGGATTGCATGGAGCTGTCTGGGGTTTTGCTGGAGGCATCTGACAAGCAGCAATAGCTGAGCTGTTGTTTAGGACTCTGGCATAGACACTGTGTCTGGCACAAGGTTGTGTGACTGATAGGCTGTGACCTGCCTTCTCCTCCTGCAGGGAGAGCTTTTCACGTGGGGATCCGAGCAGCAGCTGCAGGGGCTGCAGCCTGGAGTGCTTTCAGAGCTGTGACTTTGATCAGAGGAGCAGTGCAGCGAGGAGGAGGAGGAGGTTCATTTTGGCCATGTGAGGAGCAGACCTTCCTCTCACACAGCCCACTGCATGGGGGGAAACTGGCTGGTTGGTAGCTCCAGGAGGGAAGCAGCAAATGCCCTCATTTTAGGAGCTCCCCCCTCCTCCAGGAGCCCACAGGGGCAGGCTTGGTCCCTGCAGGCAGCTTTGGCTGCTGAGATGCCTTCTCAGCACCTCTGTCTGCCTGGCCCCTGCTCTTGAGAGATGCTGACAGGTCTGTGCTCTGTCGGAGGCTCTGTGGCTTGCCTTTGGGACCGGTGGCAGGCTCAGGGTCAAGGCAATGCAAAATCAGCACAATGAGGAGAGCAGGGGGGAGGCTGTCCTTGCTTTGATCACTGGAAAGGTAAAGCAGAAATAGAGCTTAAAAACCTAGCCAGGCAAAATAAGGCTGCAGTTGTGCTGATGGTTGTGTTCCGGGAAGCTCAGCTCTTCCCCTCCTTCTCCCCCAGCTCTGGATTAGCTCTGGATGTAGGAGTTTCCTCTGCTGGACAATGGGAAGAAGCTTCTTTTAGTAACCCCCTTTTCAAAGGGTCTTGAGCCCAAAATGAGCTGCATCTCTTGAATTATTTAGTGGCATGGCTGAGCTGGCAGCTGGGTCCTGCTCTCCCGTGTGCAGTGGGGCTGGGCTTTTTAATCCCCTTAAAGCAAGTGAGTGGGGAAGGGGAGGTTGGACCCTGCTGCTCCCCAGGGGAAGGAGCTGGTCCTTGCCAGCCATTTATCCAGGCAGCTCTGAGTGCTCTCTGGGAAGGGGTTGGGATACGGGGGCTGCTGGGAATGAGCTGCCAGTGCTGGCGGATAAATCACCAGCATGGTTTAATTATTTAATGCAACCCAGGGCTGGGGAGGCTGTTGCTTAATTGCAGGGGAATGCAACAACCAGGAAGGAGCAGGGCTGAGTCCAGACCTGGCCCCGAGCAGTGGGTGTCTGCAGTGTTTTAGGAGGGAGTTGAAACAGAGGGGGCTGCGCTGCCTCGGCCTATGTGTATGTGGGGCACTGGCCTGTAGTGGTTCTAGCTTGCAGCCTCCCCAGGGGAGCTTCTGGCCACCTCTGTCCCTTGGCACTTGGGTGTCAGGTCTTGTCCTCAGTCTGTCCCAGCCTCTAGCCTGGCTCAGCAGCCAAGTGTTGAGGTCCTGTGAGGTGCATGGATCCTTCCCCTGTCTGATCCTGCTTCCCACTGGTGATCGCACCATGTCCTTGGGATGGCAGCTTAGGGAGCTGCTGTCTGTGGGAGGCTGTGTCTGCCATGAGGCCCTTCCTCCTGGGAGCAGAGGGCATGGGGAGCGATCTGCAGCTGCTTCAGCACAGCTCTGCCATGCCTGTCTCTCTGCCTGCCCCCTTCAAGCAGCACTTCAAGGGCTGGAAACTTGCTGGGCTCGGCTCTTTCCTTGTCCTCCTGGCAGGCAAGACGTGAAGAACTGAACCACAGCCCAGGAGACCAGCCAGCTTCACACAGTCCATGCCTCCAGCAAAGTCAAACCAGCCGCTGCTTCTGCTGTCCTCTTTGTCCCCTTGAAGGAGGAATCCCCTCTCGAGACACAGGAGCGCCATTGCCTGAGGCCTGGCCAGCTGCTGTGGTGGTTTGGGCTCTCTGGCTGCCCGGAGTCAGGCGAGGAGAATCCCTGTGCCTCTGGCAGGCTTGACCAGTCATCATCAGAGCCTTCTACAAGTGTTTGGAGCTGCTTAAAGTGCTGCCTGTGGTGGTGTCTCTTGGTGTGTGGGGTGTAGCCATTCCCCAGCTGTATGTGCAAGGCAGGGAGGAGGCTGTTGTGCATTGGCCAGCCCTGGTCCTAACTGTACAGTCTGAGGTACCGTGCTGTATTGCCTGTTGGATCTCTCTTCTTTGTGGCCACAGCAGTGTCACTTCCAGTCACTCTCTTGAATCCTACACATTCCTCCTTCCATGCTAGATGTAAGAAAGGTGGTTCCGTTGTCTTGCTGTTGTCTTTTCATCAGCTGTATGTTTGTATTGAGGTATCTATTCTATTTCTATGAGAACCAAGAGCTTCTCAATCTTGCTCTGATGAGACCACTGTTGGCCAAACCAGGCTGCCTCTTCCCCTGAGTAGGTTGTATTTTGCCACATGCGCTGGGTAGCCCTGGGTTGGAGCTTCTGTGGCAGCATGGCTGGTATAAGTTGGAAGCAACAGGAATCACACTGAGAAGGTTGACTTGTGATCAGGCCCTGCTGTGCTGGGTGCTGTACAAACACTGCCACTGTTAATCCTGGCTCCTAAGAGACACTTCAGGACAAAGATTAGAGGCCTTGAGAAGGGCAAATCACATCACCAGCCACTGGTGAGGTTATACAGCAAGTGCTGTGCTGTATTCCATGGGGGATGCAGGACCCTCAAGATACAGAGCCCGAGTTCTGTGTTGGAGATCCTTGATCTGTGTAGCACCTCCCTGCTGCTCAGTCCTGTGTGCCCCATAGCTAGGAGCTTGCTGTAGCAATTCACCCAGAGGCTTTACAGCACAGTGCTGTTAACAGTTCATGGAAGACTGTGTGGGTGACAGGGGAGCCTGCCTCAGGCTGGCCTTTGGAGTAGACTGATCTAAGGCTAAGGCCAACCCGCCCTGTTGTGTTTCAGGGAGGGTTGGTACATTCTGTTTCAGCTTGTCACCCTTGGGAAGGATGGTGTGGGCTTTAACAGCTCCAATCCAGAGCAGAGGTATTGGAGCCTGGAGGACTGCTCTGGTTTATATCACTGTGACCCCTCATCTTTGTCTCTGCAGCCCATTGAAAAGCTGGTGGCTCTTCTGAACACTCTCGACAGATGGATCGATGAAACCCCGCCAGTGGATCAACCCTCTCGCTTTGGGAACAAAGCCTTCAGGACCTGGTATGCCAAACTAGACCAGGTGAGCATGGCTTTCACGTGTAGTGTGCATGCAGCTCCTACAGCAGGGCAGCATGCCCAGCAGGAGCAGCAGAACAGCTCCATCACTCTGTGCAGCCAAGCAGCCTACAGAGGAATTGCTTAGATGAGCTGTAAAGGATCCACCTCTTGTTATGCATCACTTACCTGTGATCTGGTGCTGTCTTCTCCTCTTATGAGAGCATGTGGTCATGTAAATGCTCTCGGCTGGGTCTCCCAAGTCCTGGATGAGCCACGAGGGCCCTCCAGACCCAAGGAGCAACTTTGGTTTGTAACTGCCCTCTATGTCTGCTGGCTGATGAGTGACACACAAAATCAGAGGAAGGTTGTGGAACTGCTCCAGTTCCTTCAGCTCAGAGCACTTGCCCTGCACTGAGCTCTGGAGGTGGCACAGTCCCAGCCACAATGAGCTTGCAGGAGGTCTGCTGCTCTCTTAATGCTTTTGTCCTGTAGCTGACTCAAGTGGGTATGTGGGTTGATGGGCTTGGATGGTGGAGCTTTTCTTCCCCTGCACGATCACGATGCTTGTGGTCTGGGTAATGTCAGGACATCCTCTCCCTGGATTGCTTCAGTGGGTCCCTGGATGACTTCTTCAACAGGAGAGTTCCCTCCTCTGCCACGCTCGCTCTGGCCATTGTAGGAGTGCACTGTTGCAGCTCCCACCCTGCACCAGTGTCTGAGGAAGGGGGGACTGTTTCCTGGGGGCTGTGATGCATCTGCACTCACTCAAGAGTCCTTTGTATCTTTCAGGAAGCAGAGAAGTTGGTGGCAACAGTAATTCCCAAGCATTTGGCTAGTGCTGCACCAGAAGTGGCTGTGTACCTGAAGGAATCCGTGGGGAATTCCACCCGCATTGACTATGGCACAGGTACCTGGGCACCAAAAGGCAGGAGAACAGGATGCTGTGGGTGCAAGGAAGCACCACTTTGGACCTGGACAGGGAGAGGAAGAGGAGGACGTGGGTAAAGGATGAAGAGCTGGAGCTTGTGCAGTGCTTGCCAGAGAGCTGCGGCTCGCCGGCACCAGGGGGAGATGTTGTCTTTGGAAAGGGACCCACTGGCTGGGGTTTTGTCAGCTCAGGGAAGGAAATTCAGCCTTTCCTCCCCTCCCGTGTGTCCCAAGCCAGAGGCTCATGTCCTAGCTCACAGTGGTGAGACTATAGGTGCGTTTTGTTCCTACACTGGGAGCTGCACTTCATAGTGTGGAGCTGCTGATCTCGTAGTCTCCCTTCTTCTGTGGTCCCTTCCACTGACAGACATTCTGGGTTTGCTGGTTTTGTCCTTGCTGTTAGCTGAAGGACTAAGCTGCAAAGATCTTCTGACACACAGATCTTTCTGAAGCAGGAGGAAATCTGTTTGCTTGCAGATGTGAGGTGCTCTTGCATCTCCTGAGCAGATGACTCTGTGGTGTTCCACTTCTCCTGCTGTGTCAAGCTCCTGGGAAAGGCCCTGCCCAGTTTTAGAGCTGCTTTTCCTCAAGAACTTCTTTTCTCAAAGTTAATAATCACCTTATGAATGTCTAGAAGGTGTCTTTGGGTGGGTGCTGCGTGGGGATGAAATACTGTCAGCTCCTGGCATTAATAGGGATAATAGGGTTGGGGCTCTTTGGACAGGACTGTGACTGCTGTGATTTCTGAAGAGCCATTGTGGTGCCTACAGAAAGCTTGTCCTGGGCTCCAGAGACACCAGTGTCACATCTCTTCATGTTCTTTAACTCTAGGTCACGAAGCTGCATTTGCAGCCTTTCTCTGCTGCCTCTGCAAAATCGGGGTGCTCAGAGTGGATGACCAGATGGCCATTGTCTTTAAAGTATTTAACAGGTGAGGTAATGGAAGGAGAAGGGCTGGAATGTGGCAGGTCCCTGTCCCCTTCCAGCTGTGTGAGATGTTACTGCCTATTCTGTGCACCAGACTCCTCCTGTAGCCTAGTTGTGCCCCTTTCTTCCACTCAACTGCACCCATTTGGGACTAAGAAATGAGCCTCCTCCTTGGGGTGTGAGCTGAGCAATTGAGGCCTTCAAAGACATGGAGAACATGAGTGCTGAAGGCCTTGCTGGCTTAGGGAAAAAGGGCAGAATGGGAAAACTGAAGACGAATTGAGACAAAACTAGGAGGCAGATGTACTGTTTAATGGTCATGGTGGGTGACCCATGATAACTGTCTCCAAAAGAGGTGAGAGCACCTTGTCTGTTAGAGGCTGAGTGTCTTTCTGGAAGGTTACTTCAGTTGAGCACAAGTTCTTGAGCTCTGCAGAGGTATGTGGGTGAAGCTCTGTGCTTTGTGACAGGCAGGAGTATCTGATCAGAGGATCTAACATCTCTTCAGGCATTAAAAAACCCCTCTATGAAACTGGCAGGTCTCCACTGCTCCTCTACATGTGTTTCCAGCCCAGAAGGTAGAGTTGGTAGTGATGAAACTGTTGGAATGGGTGTTTGGAGTCCGGAGATCTAATCCCAGCTGTATCACTGCTTGGTGGCATGGAAAGAATTCCCTTCAATGGTGCTTCCAGCTTTAATTTGCCACCTGGAAAGTGGAAGTAGCAGTTGCCGTAAGGGGGAAAGCTTTTTGAGCAATTCTGAAAGTTGCTGAAGGAAAGCAAAGTGTCAACGTTTTCAAATAACAGTGGCTCCAGCAACATAAGACACTGCAGATAAAATAAACCCCTGCCATTTAATCTCTTAGTGAATTTGCTGTAGAAAACCCCAAACCAGCAACAAAACAAACCAACAATTTTTAGAAGGTGCTGAAATTTGCTACTATATGTACCTTCAGGCTGCTTTCTGTAGCAAAGGAGTCGAATCCTATGTACTGTGCTGTATGCAGGAGTCCTGCTTGCAAGCAGGCTGGTGGTTCTTGTCCTCATGTAAGTCCGCGGAGACAGAAGAAGACCTTGTCTTAACCCTTCCTTCTCTCTGTGGTCTCAGGTACCTAGAAGTGATGCGAAAACTTCAGAAGACCTACAGGATGGAGCCTGCTGGCAGCCAGGGCGTGTGGGGCTTGGATGACTTCCAGTTTCTACCTTTCATATGGGGCAGTTCCCAGCTGATAGGTACTAATGAAAACCTTCTCGTGTCCCAGCCTGCCCCCTGTCTGTCTCAGTTGCAAAGATGATGGATTTTGGGACTGACTTTTAAATTCAAATATGTCAAATCTGTGCGTGGTACAGCAGAAGAGCTTGCTTGGGGCTTGGATTGTTGGGTTTTCCCTTCAACTTTCCACATAAAGCTATTTGCTTAGGTTGGGAGGGGGAAGGCTTCTCTGTACAGTACATCCCTCTTCATTGCAATGGCTACAGGCTTTTTAAAAGGAGAGTCTTGGGTTTGGTGCTAGAAAACACTTTTTTTTGCCCTGGGGAGTTGATGAGGTGCTATCACTGCTGAAGCAGTGGAGTGGGAGATGAGATGGAGCAGCTCTGTAGGGACTTCTGAAGAGCTCCAATGGGAGGATCGTGCCTCTTCTGAAAGAGGGACAGGACAAGACCTGGTTGAACTTGATCTCAGGAGGGGGATACCATCCAGGTTACTTCTTATTGTCTCTTCTTTTTAGACCATCCAAATCTGGAGCCTCGACACTTTGTTGATGAGAAGGTGGTAAACGAAAACCATAAAGACTTCATGTTCCTGGAGTGCATCCTCTTCATTACAGAGGTGAGGACTAGAAAGTTTGTTCCACAGAGATGTTCTCTTGACATTAGATACTGTGGTTTTCTCTTCCTCCTTTGCTTGTTTGTTTGCTCTCATGGAACTGTGTGGATGAACCATTGTTGCATGTCTGAGGTGCTCTCCTTGAATGAGTTGAGACAGGGATGTTGAGAGGGAAGTATAATTAAGCTAGATGGGCTGTGAGTTGCAGTTGAAGGGAGCTGTAACAAGAGCAAACAAATTACCTGGGATCAGTCAGTGGGAACGTGGATGGAGAAGACTGGTGCCTGCAAGCATGCTAGGAAGATGAAGTAGGAGCTGCAAACCGACTGGGCTTGCCAAGTTCACCTCCCTTCCCTGCAGCCCTTGGGTGCTGCCTGCCAGGCCCTGGGCCTCCTCTTGCTTAGGGCAGGCTCCCAAACCTCCGTGCAGCTTGGTCTCCACCAGGTTCTGCCAAGAACAGCCATTAAATATGCCTTATTTGCACACAATCTAGAGCAGAGATGGTGCTGAGATTCACTCAGCAGTGCTATCAGGACCATGTTTCTGCTCAAGCACTGTAGGACCCTTGGGTGAGTGGCTGGTGATACTCAACCATGGACAGTGTTTCTCAGTGAGGGAGCTCACAGCTTTCTGCCCTCAGCTGGATCATCTGGCCATGTTTCTACTACCCCTCTTGCTGCATGGTCTGGGCAGAGAGAGCAAGAACTCCATCCTCTGTTGTGGTGAGGGATTTATTGTCTCTGGCAAGATAGAGCTGATGGGATTAATTCTGAAGGACAGAATGTGGTGCTTCCCCTCAGTTCTGTTTGCTTCCCCCCCCCCACCTCTAATTTAGTGATTAGATGAGAAGGGAGGTTACAGAATATGAACTTAGCCTTTTATGTAGGAAATTTTCATGGAGCCTTTGGCCCAAACCCTGTTTTAAATCCTACTGAGTCTAGTAGGGTTTGTTGGTACTTAGCACTTCTCAGGGTTTAACCCTTAATGCAGACATAAATCATGCCACAGGTGGTAAAGAGGTGCTGACAGAAGAGATCAAGATGAAGACAGGAAAGTGGGAGCCAAGATACTTTAAGCTTCATTTTCATTTGGGCCTCTGTGATACCCAGACAGTGCACTGAGCTGTTAAAACCATAAACCCGTGCATCCCTTGACGTGTGTGTGTAGAGTATTCTGCAGTGCACAGATGACCATGTCAGGTTTAAGATACACAGCACCAAGCTGCTGCTTCAGGTCCCTCTGCTTTCGCCTGCAGAAAGTCAGCTTTTTGAGGAGGCTTCTAAAACAAGGGATTTTGCTCCTTTTCCTGCACATCTGGTGTTTCTGTGCGTTCCTCAGTGCCACCTGGTGGCAAGGAGCCCTCCTGGCGTGAGCCGCTGAGGGATGGCAGCAACCTGCATCAGCGAATGCATGGTATTTTCAATCCACCTCCATGCAGGCACTGCTTCCCTTTAGGAAAGATTTTGCTTTTGAATTTTGGGGTTTTCTTTCTCTCCCAAATTCCTGGGCAGGCTGTTACTGCCACTAGGTGGGGCTGGGACAGCCTCGAGTGCCCTCCAACCGCTCTCTCTCCAAAATCAACAACAAAATAGCAGGGGGGGAAAAAAAGATAGAAGGGATTAAAGCCTTTAATAAATGAACGATATGATTTTCTTCTGAGCTTGTCAGCTGGAAACAGCTCTCCTTTAAAAGTTAGACACGTAGCAAACACCACAGCAGTTCCCATAGTGGGTCTGGTACATGTTACCGACATGAGAGCAGGTTTTGTTTCAGCAAGCTACAACCGAGGCTGGTTGTTTTCTTTCAACCAAGAGAATATTCTCTTGAGCAGATATTTTTCCCAGCCTCTGTGTGACGTCTCAGGGTATGAATACACACTGTCGGGGTGTTTGCCACGTGTATAGTTAAACCTCAGGCTCCTCGAGTAGCAGTGTCCAGCCTGAACTCACCAGGCACCACCCTGCCTGAGCCTTGCGTAAGCTGGGAAATCTGTGGGGTCATTTTGGATCTGGACGTGTGGTTCTGGAATAAAGTGAAGTTTATGGAGCTGGCTGGGACTCGAGCTAACCCCCTGGTGCCAAGGTGTGCTGTGGGGTGCATGTGGTACCCATACGTGCAAGGATGAGGATGGTTTGGGAGTATCTCTGTGGTGCTGCCTGCCCTAGGGGCTGCGGATGGCAGTGCTGTGTGTGTTTGCGCAGAAGAGGGGTTCTGGGTACACCCCAGCTGTTGCAGTGCCGTGCTGTGATTGCCCAGATGCTCCTCCAAGGGCCCAGGGCAGGCAGCAGCAATTTCGGCTTCAATCTGGCTTCTAAATTTGGAGGTTTGGGAAGGGAGGGCTCGGGTTTCTGCTGGAAGGGAAGGAGCTGACAGGAAAGCACGGCCTCAGCCGTCCCCCTCCCCCCGGCACTGACAGAGGAACCATTTACAAAAGGCCGATTCTCTTGGGAACCGAGAGGCAGGAACGCTGCGTCTGTGAGTAATTTCCTGCTCAATATGGCTGCTCTGACTCACTCCATTCCCCTGGGGTCACTGCGGGACTGCAGCGCGCTCGCTGCCTCTGCTCTCCCCTCCCGCTCTCCCTCTTCGCCCTTTGTGG